AGGAAGGAAGGAAGGAAGGAAGGAAGGAAGGAAGGAAGGAAAGGAAAGGAAAGGAAGAAAGGAAGAAGGAAAAAGGGAAAGAACAAAAACAAGAAAGATGGCCCAGCTGTGCAGCATGCATTAGATACTGCTGCTTGACAGGTTGAGGCCACATGGGAGGTCTGGGTTTGATTTTCACAGCACAACCTGAAAAGCCAGGCATGGTGGTGCCAGCCTCCTGTTTACCAGTGAGACTAAGGCAGGAAGATGGTGACAAGGTGAGAGGCTGTCTAAAACAATCCTTCCCTTGGAATCAGCCGATGTTGTAATAATTACGTTGTGGACTCCCACTCCTGCAGTAGTTGATTGCAGTTCAAGTCCCAGACCCAGCGGCTCAAAACTCACACTAGGTACATGTATACACATGCCTAAAATTCCAAAAGGAGAATGGAGTACAAGGGATTGTGTGGCATGGCCATCCCTCCAGGGGGGGATTTTTCACTTTCTTTCTCTCTCCCTCCAATGAGCACATGCACCCTTTAGCCCAAAAAAAACTCTTAAAAAAAAAAAAAAAAAAAAAAACCTCCCACACAAGTACATCCCCTACAAAAAAATGAAAGAAAGGGAGGAAGAAAGAGGGAAGAGGTGAGAGAGGAGGGAGGGGGAGGGGAGAAAAAGAAAAGGAAAGTAACAAATAAAGGGAAAGACAGCTGCACTGAGTGACTCTCAAGCTTAGCCTAGCTCCTTTGACAGAGACAAGTCATTCTTTTGTTGTTGTTGTTGTTGTTGTTGAGAGGTTTTTGCTATAGGGTGCATGCACTCGCTGGAAAGACAGAGACAGAGAGACAGAGAGCAAGAAATCACCCCTTGGGGGATGGCCACGCCGCAATCCCTTCTCCTCCATTCTCCTCTCGGGATCTTGGGCACGCACGCACACGTGCCCAACGTGAGTTTAAGCCACTGGGTCAGGGACTTGAACCACGATCAACTACATGGGAGTCCAGTGACATAGCCATTACGCTAACTGCTGATCCCGAAAATTCTTTCTTTTTTAAAGTTTACATATTTATTTCATGAGGCAGAGAGAAAGAGAAAGAAAGGCCCTCTCAACAAGATCTCATGCTGCAATCTTCCCCCAGTACTCCCAGGGGGCCAGGCTCACAGGCTTACACACACGCGTACTCAGAATGCACAGGAACCGTACCTTGGTCTTCATATGGCTTCCAGCAAGGCAAAATGTTACATTACCACTCCATCACTGCTGTTGGTCCTTATTTTAGAACTTTCTATTAGATACAGCTACTTTGTTATATATATATTTTTAATTTTGCCAGAGAGCATGTGAACTCAGCCATGAAAAAGAGAGGAAAGAGAAAGTGAGAAAGCACTCCCCGTGGGAAATGGTCATGCTGCAATCTCTGCTCTTCCACGTCTCTCTCCTTTTGGGAATGAGAGCACATATGCACACACACCTGGCGCTTTTCCCAAGCTGCCAGGTCTGGGACTTCAATTGAGAAGTTGGCCATATAGGATCCAGTTTCCTTAACCATCACACCATGGGCTGGCCTGGATATGGCTGCTTTAAATTCATCTCAGCTGAAAACAAGGGCCAGAAGAATCTGTCCACACACAAGCGAGGTTGTAGAGACAGAGGTTGGCAGAGGCCATCACACATCATAGCCAACTAGGAAGCCATCGAGAGCTGAGAGGCCCAGTCCCTTGCCATGGGACCTGCACAGCATTCCCTCACCCCAGAGCTTCAAGCAGGGACACAGGCTCAGTGAAACCTGAACCTCCTTTCACCTGCTCCCTGGGGGGTGGAGAGAGTCTATCAAAGCAATCACTGGGGAGTGGTGGGGACAAGTGTTTGTGAATGTCTGTTCTCTCTACAGCCCAGCCCTCCCTTCCCCACCAGCACCCACCTGCCCTGACCTCCAGGGGCGTTTTACTCTGAAGAAGCACCGTCTGAGATCAGAAGCAAGCCCAAGAGATGTCCAAGTGCAAGAATTCAAGACACTGCAGCTGCCATTCTCTTGGGGAGGGAAGGGCAGGGAGGACAGAGGTATAGTCCCCCACCCCATCTACACATTCCCTTGGAGGCAGGAGGCAAATCCCCCAAAGCAAGGCCCAGTAGGCACGCTCTTGTCCTAACTGGTGCCTCTGTGGCGATTACCCCTTGCCCACCCCATGCCATCGGGTCGAGCCAATACTATGGAACATCATGGCGAGAAAGGCCAATGACGTGGTTAACCCACAGAGGAGAAAATCGAGGCCGGGGTGAGGAAGGAACCTGCGGAAGTTACAGGCCCAGGGAGTGGCAGAAGAAGAACAGGGCTGCCAACTGTGTGTTTCCTGCTTTTCCCACTGTGCTAGCCAGTGCCTTTGGAGGAGGGGTGAGTCCTCACATTAGTGCTCTGAGATCCTGTGCCTCACTGAGGAGTGGGGACCCTCACCCTCTCCACCCTCCCTGGCATGGAGAACAGGGATTGAAGGTGGAATGCATGCCAGATGGCAGTGGGCAGAGGAAGTGACCTGAATGAGGGGGCTGGGTCTGGCAACCAGCTGGGTTCAGCA